GTGGCACCCCAGGGGAGCTGCACGAGGAAGAAAGAGAGATTTGGGCCAGGCGGAGGCTGCTGTTGAGCCCGTGGTAGCTAGGAGAAGGGCAGGTGAGGCTGCAGGAGAGGAGGGTGGGCCATAAGGAGTATTGTGGTAACCTAGTCCTGCAGAATGGAGAGCAAGATGATCCTGATTGGGTAGCCTGGGTCCTCTTCTGGGAAGGGGAGCAAGTTTTTCAGCCCCAGTTGTGCCCTCAGTGTGTGAGCCCAGGCTTGTGGCAGCCAGGGCTGCTCAGGCCCCTTGACTCACCATGTGCTTGGGTCTGGATCCCCCCTGGCCTTCCCCTGGACTACATCAGCCCCTCCCTGGGGCTACATCAGCCCCTCCCTGGGGCTCGTTCAGTCCCTGGGCTGCACCTGCTCATGGAGGTGCCCACCTTGGTCCCTCTCCACAGGGCTTTCTGACTCTCAGCCTGCCTCATGTGGCAGCCGAGGCATCCCTTCAGTCCTTCAGCAGGTGTTTCTTGAGGATATACTGGGCTGACCTGTGTGGACAGGACAGATCTGGCCTTACCTGGTGGCACTTGCAGCCAGGCGGTGCAGGCAGACACCACAGTGCTCCAGAAGGCCAGGGCAGACCTCTGGAGAGCCGCAGCTGAGCTGCGGCCTCCACAAGGAGGTGGGCATGGGAGCGAGCCTTCCAGAGACATGCAGCCTGAGCCCTGAGCATGGGCTTGGAGGCAGGATGGTGGGCAGCACCCTGTGGCCTGACCTAGGCCTCCAGTGCCAACTGGGGAAGTGAGGAGGGTGCTGCTGAGGGCAGGTGCTGAGTAGACCCTGACCTTCCAGATCGCATCAACATCAAGAGGAAGGGGGCGTGGCCCTCCACCCTGCTATCTGTGCAGAACGTCATTGACTGCGGCAATGCTGGCTCCTGCGAAGGGGGCAACGACCTGCCAGTGTGGGAGTATGCCCACTTGCACGGCATCCCTGATGAAACCTGCAACAACTACCAGGCCAAGGACCAGGGTAGGCCCTGCCCACTCCCCCGCTGCCCTGTCCCTCTTCCCTGGGAGAGTGTACTGTAAGCCCAGGCCAATCCCACCCTTGCGATGCTGTGGCTGGAGTGGTGGGGAGGGGAGGGTCAGCACCCCCGGTCTTTGGGGAGGACTTGTTCCCAGAACCTGTGCCAACCTCATCCAGTGCTGCCTTGAACCTAGTAGAGCTATGGAATTCATCATTTTTGTGGAGACCCTCCCTTGGCATGGGGAGAGGTCAAAGGACACCCTCCCAATTCCCGGGCCTCCAGCCTTAGACCATGTTTCTGCTGCGGTGAGGCCCTGATGTGATGTATGGGTTCTGACCTGTGACATTTGGGTAGTTTATAATAGGCCTTGCATGGAGCAGGGCAAGTGCTCCTGCTCCACCCTGTGCGGGGTGGAGCCTACTCTCCAGGAGCTGGGCACAGAGAGCTGGTAGGGAAGCTGGCACCCAGAGCTGGAGGCAGGAGGTCTAGCAGTGGGTCTGTCAACCTGGTCCCTGCCCAGTACTCCGGGCCATGTGTACCCAGATGTGCCTGCAGCCAATGGGCACTTTGTGGGTGAGCAGAGCAGGCTGGCCCAGAATCCCCAGAGTCGACACATTCCTTTTAGGCTGCTCCTTTCAGAAACCAAAGGACCCAAATGCATAATTGGCAGGTTTAAGCCACCTGACCCCAGATCTCCCTCACAGCCAGAGCAGAAAGCTTTGGAAAACTCAGAAGACATTTGAGACAGGTGCAGGAGGAAGGAAGGGGAAGGAGCCCAATGCTGTCCCCCAACCCTGTGAACGCTGGCTCTAGTGTCCTGTACCCACTGAAGTGGCAGGAATACTCAGCCCCACCCAGGCCAGCGGGATTCTGTCTCCTTGCTTCCTGGGCCAAACTGCCCAAAGAATTTTCTGTCCTGGTTTAGTAAACCCAGCAGGGTCAGAGACCCCAGGGGGGACTTCCCTGTGGAATCAGATAGTCCTGGGGCCCTTCCCACCCCACTGACATCCCCAAGCCGGTGTTGTCCAGCCGAGGCCAAGTCGCTCTGATCCCACCTCTCCTGACAGGTGGCTGGAGCACATCAGAGACCTGAGTGTTTGCCATAAACAGTCTTGTCTTTGTATTGGTAAATGTGGCTGCAGATCCACCATTTTCCGGTTGTGCCAGGCCCTGGGCATTTGGTGTTGGACAAATTAAACCAACAATTTAATCCTCAAAGAGTTTACTGTCCCCGGAGAAGATCTGGACAGATGTGTAACCACAACAGAAATAGGCAACAACAAAGTGGTAGCCAGGCAGGCTGAAGACCGGGCAGGGTGGATGGGTGAAAGTACAAATGCCCAGAGTTAGGGAACATGGCCATCATGCCTATGAGGTGGAACATGGGCACACCTTCTTATTCTTCTTTTCTAACCTAATTGTGGGTATCTCTCAAACCAAAATAACAAGAAAGGGGTTTTGTTTTGTTTTTTTTTTAACCATATGTAATGGCATATTTATTCACTAGCCAGCAATAGAATCATCTTGTTGAGTTTTAGTATTTTGATTGCACTCGATTTCAGCTCTGAAGTATTGTGGAAAGGTCCTCTCCTGGTCTTTACAGAGAGGAAAAAGCCCACCCAGAGTTCCTGCTCTATAGTCAAAAGTTGACCTCTCTTCTCTTCCCTCCTTCCACCCTTCAAGGAGGGTGGAGCCCTCCTTGAAGCTCTTCCATAGCAGAAAGAGGAGATGATCGGTTCCTAGTAATGAGCAGGGCACTGGGCCTCCTGGTTAGCTGGGCAGTGAGGAGAGCCCCAGGTTGACTGCTTGCTCTCACCCAGAGTGTGACAAGTTCAACCAGTGTGGGACCTGCACGGAGTTCAAAGAGTGCCACACCATCCAGAACTATACCCTCTGGAGAGTGGGCGACTATGGCTCCCTCTCAGGGAGGGAGAAGATGAGGGCGGAGATCTACACGAATGGTCCCATCAGGTGAGTACAGGCCGCCAGGTGAGGCTGCGCCAGGTGTACCAGCAGGATTGTGTACCTGTGTGTCGATCATGCTTCCCGCCCCACCACCAGTTTTACTCCCTAGTGTGAGCTACAGCCACCACTTTCACCTTTGAGAACTTCTGTTTTCTCAGAAGTAAACCCCAACCAGTGACTGATCTGCCCCTCATGGGATTATTGTGGGACACGTGGGGGTGAGAGGCCCAGCTGTGGTGACAGCTGTGGTGTTCTGGGGCTTGAGGACGCAGCCACAGCAACTCAAGTCTGTCCAGAACCACCGTGTGGGGCGGGTTGGATTCACCCCTGGGGCAGCAGGCTACCTGCAGCCTCTTTCTGGGTGAGGTAATAACTCACTGCTTGCTCTCAGCTGCGGCATAATGGCAACAGAAGGGATGGCCAACTACACTGGCGGCATCTATGCCGAGTACCGTGACAAGGCCTATGTGAACCACATTATCTCAGTGGCCGGATGGGGTGTCAGCAGTGACGGGACCGAGTACTGGATTGTCCGGAATTCCTGGGGCGAACCTTGGGTGAGATGTTTTCACTTTATGGTTGTACCTAGAAAATGAGGCCACACTTCTCACCCATGCCTGTTGACCTCTGACTGAGCACTGTGGCCTGCAGCCAGCTAGACCTCTTGCTCCAGCCATCTGTCAGCCACAGCTCTGGGCAGATGCTTCTTGTGTAGGGCCATTCCTGTTCTATGCATTGTCCGATGTTTAGCAGCACCCTGGGGCCCCTACCCACTAGATGCCAGTTCCTCTTCTGCCCCCCAGTATGAGACACCAGAACTGGCACCAAAGTGAAGTGGCATGGCTGGGACACCCCTGCCAAGGATGCAGTTGGCCACCTTCCTCCTTCACAACCAGGTCATTTTTTCTCCTGCCAGTTTCAGACTCTCCTTAGGAGTACTCTGTAGGTTTTTCATGAATACTTTTAGGTTGGGTCAAAGATCCAGGGGGTGATAACTGCCAGAGTTTTTATTTTTAAAACTAATATTAGCCATTAATAGCTTGATACAGAAATTCATTATTATGAAATGGAGGAAAATGGTAAATACAGAAGTGATGAAATCAGTTTGTTTTTTTTTTTTAATTAAATAACTACAAGTGGGGATATTAGTAGGTGGATAAGTCATCTGGTCTAAACAGTCAACATGTTTTGTTACATTAATTAGCTACTGGCAGGGGGCCCTTGTGTTAAGTATTAACCAAGTGAATATCTCATACAAGGCATTTTTGACAAGGGTCATGGGAAAGGGTGCTGGGTGGCCAGGCAGGCTGTCTGGGTATTTTGTTCTGTGGGGCTGGGCTGCGGGGTGGAGGCCAAGGGCCTGGTCTGAGTCTGGAGCAGAAGGGTGGAGCCGGAGACCATGTGCTGAAGGGGTGACGTGGGGGCCTTGGCATCTCGCAGGGTGAGAGAGGCTGGATGAAGATAGTGACCAGCACCTACAAGGATGGGAGAGGCGCCAGCTACAACCTGGCCATTGAGGAGTACTGCACATTCGGGGACCCCATCGTCTAGGGAGGATGCCTCTGGAAGAGCAGTTCACGGGAGTTGGGATCCTGTGCGCAAGTTCGGTTAGCAGGGCTGGGTGATTGTCAATCTTGGACACTGGTCACCAAACTGAACATCTAGAAGGGTACCTGTCGACCTGAGAACCATGTGGTACTGGCTAAGTGCACCTTGAGGAGGGCTGACCGCTGATGACTTAAGTACCTGCACAAGGTGGTTCCAGGCTCCATCTGCCAAGGCACAGGGCCTGTTTTCTTCAGCAGGGCGCTTGGTATTTTGTGTTTAGCAAGTGTGGTCACTAATATCACATTTAAGAGGTAAAATGGTTCAGACTTTTTACCAGTTCTTAAATCATCTTGGATTCAGTGTAGGGAGGGAGGTGGTAATTTCAAATTGTCCAAGTGATGAATAAACCGTCTGGTTCCACCCAAGGCCCAGCAGGCCTTATTTATACAAGCACCCAACATGGGACCTGCACCTTATAATTCAGCACAAAAGCTTTTTAAAAATTTATTAGCAAATTTAAACAATTACAATAAAACATCAACTAACCAATTGGGTTCTTGTGAGAAAACTTAGTCAGCCTTGAAAAGTTGTTCACCAGAGTCTCAACTTCACAACTCCCACCACCCCCAGGGCCAGCAGCAGGTTCATGCGGAGGCAATGTGGAGGGAATTGAGCACTGGACTGACCATACGGGGAGGAGATGTCACTAGCAGGCTCTCACACTGCTAACACTTTGCTTCTAAGGAAGTCATCCACCCCTCAGCAGATTCCACATCCAAGGTGCTGGCTGAGCTGCAAATGGCAGCTTCTTGAGAGGGCTCTCCTCAGTGGAGCCTGGAAAACCTGCTTCAGCTCTGCAGATGCTTCACTTAGTTCACCATGATGAAGTTAGACTTGCAGTGAGCTGAAACCAGACGCACACAGTCACTGGGTTAGAAACAGAAGGTGCAAACTGACACATACCGATGTAGCCAGAGCAGATCTACTGAGACCTTACCGATAAATTCTGTCACGGGGTCATGTTCGCCTTCTGTTTTGATGGTGCCCGCAATGCTGCCATTTTCCAAGATGGGGAGGAAGAGCTGCACAAAGTCAGAGGTGTATGGAGGAGCGATAACATCCAGTACCTACGAGGGAAAACAGGGCTACTCTGCCTGCCTGGCCAACACGGGCATTGCACCAACACAGGTGAAATGGCACTCTTGAAACTATCCCTGCCTCCCCCTTTGGCTTCCCTGGTGACACCATTTTCCAACACTAAGGCAGCAGGGTGGTAACACAGGGGAAACATGTAACACAGTTCCTGCAGGTAGGAGGGCTCACAAAATTGCTATCTGTCATTGTCATCACTATGATTATCAGAAAGTACACTTCTCAGAGATAGGTACAAAATGAACTAAATTAAGCCATAAAGGACACTGCTAGTGTAAAGAACATGAAACACGAAACCAACGGTGCACTGCTGACCTCAGTGACAAAATAGCGAATGAGTGAAATGTCAGTGTCCAGCTTCTCCAGACACTTTCGGATGTAACTGACAACAGGAAGTACATAACCTCGACTCAGCAGGTGAACCATCCTGTCCAGCAGTGTCTTCTTCAGCTCAAGCTGCAGAGAAGCAGGCCAAAAGAGTAGGTCAGCATGGGGTGCACCCCCAGTCCCCACGTGCCCCGGTGCCACTCACCTGCTCCATCACATCCAGTTGGGAGTGCTCAGTCTCGAAGAGCTTAACAAGCAATTGCAGGACCTGGGGGTGCAGGAGCTGGTGGCAGGTGCTGATCTACAAACAGGTCATGGGGAGCCTTGCTGAGCAGTGTGGTCAGGTCGCAGGGCTCCCTCACCATGCAGAGAACCACTCACTGTCACTGCCAGCACAGGTAGCTCATGGCTGCTGCTGCTAGTCCTGTGCTGGACCCAGGGCCAGCAAACTCCTCAGCCCTGCCTCATCCTTCCCATGACACTTGACAAAACTGAGACATCTATGCAGTCAATGAAACTAGGTCCTTAAAAGGAAAATCCTTGTTTAGGATAGAAATAGCTAATTTTGAAGAGTATGTACTAAACACATCAAAAAGATGCATATGACAACACACATGCAAGACAGAGACATTGCACACCCAGGCAGCCCTCTGCCTCTCACCTCATCTAGCAATGCCAGGTGCACGGGAGTATGGTCAGTCTGCAGTTGGAAGTACCTTGGTTCTGACACGGTCCAATCCACCCATTTCAGCACACCCATTGCTACCACTGGAAACCTACAGGTAAACACAGCAGAATGCCTCCTTTAAACCAAAGGTGGGAAAAATACCAATATGCAACAAGAGCATTAAAGGGGAGGAAGCCTGAGAACAAACACAGACCGCCCCTTCATCTGTGCTGCCAGGAGCTGCTTATTAAAGGGGTGGCCTCTCCAAGGTGCAAGGTGAGAAGTGGTCTCTATCCTCAGCCCATTCAACCCCTTTGCTAATGGAGAAGAGATGGTGGGTGATGCAGAGACCGCTGTGTCTGGTACATGGGCTCAAGTTTACCTTAGTTAGCAAACCCCTTTCTTGGTTCCCATACAGATAAACAGAAAGATTCAAATGCCTAAGAAGACGCATGATTTCCAGGGCAAATCTATTTACATAAGTGCAGAGTCACAGGTCATTCGTTTCTATCTGAGCAATACTACGTTAGTCTTAGACTTCTGCTATAGATGAGCCCTTTTTTTTTTTTTTTTTTTTTGGTGGTCCTGAGGATTGAATCCAGAGCCTCATGAATGTTAGGCAAGGGCTCTATTGAGCTACATCCCCAACCATTTCTTGGTTTTTTGGAGCCAGGATCTAAGTTGCCCAGGCTAGGCTTAAACTTGTGATTCTCCTGCCCCAGTCTCCCAAGTAGCTGGGATTACAAGTGTGCACCACTGCACCTGGCAAAAATGAACTTTTCCAATTCCATTCTTGTAATTCCAGGTGGTCTTCCTTTCACTTAGTTTAATTTGTGAAATTACTTCTATTAAACAACCAAAAATGACTCATACTGTCTATACATGTTATTCATGCTCTCTGTATCTGTTTACAAAATAAAATAAAACACACAAGTATCTCTGCAGCTTTTGTTATGTGAGCTTTCAATATGACAACAAAAGCCACCTCCCCCAGTGATTTAGTTTGGCAATCAGTTTCACTGCTCACCTAATACACTGATAAAGTGTACTCAGTTCTGCCACGAGTTCAGAGGCCCCTTTGTTCTCATTGCAACACAAATTGTGAACAGTTTCCACAGCCTTCGACGTTGACTTCAGCTCATCTTTATTGATGCTCACTCGCTTATTCTGAAAACACACACAGGTTGGTGGATTCTGACAGCACCACAGCCTTGTCTCCACATCCCCTGCCCTATCTGTGAAGTCAGAAGTCAATTTAATTGTCAAACTTCATGGTTGTGCAGAGTACAGAAACTGTAAACCAGTGAGAGCCGTGTTTGTCTCTGGCTTAGGGACCTGTTTCACTTTTTTTAGTCATACTTCACATGACAGTCTAAAGAAGTATTAAGAGGAACATTTTCTTGAGATGTTTAGCACTTTCACCATCAGTAAAACACAAGAAAAGACATGTTCTCTGTTAGGCAGGTTCAAAATTTCTTGCAGCCCAAATTACCCAATAATACCCAAGCAAAGGAGGACCCTTGTCTTCTGAAAGGCTGACAGTACCTTCTTCCAGGTCTCAACCACACTTGCTGCATAGGCCAAGATGTGGATGTACTTGTGTTTGTGATCCTGGTTGATTCTGGCCCCCGGTTTAAAGAGTGACTGCATGAACAGGTCCAGGAAGGCTGGCACCCGGATCTGGGGAGAAGCACACACCAAGCACAGTCTGGCAGGAGAGGGTATGCGCACTTGCAGCCACCTGCAGAGTTCCAGGCAGCACGTCTAATGGGCATGAAGGCTGGGAGTGGGACGGGGAAGGACAGAAATGACAGCAACGTTTCAAAAGGCATTTGCACTCACTGCCTTAAGAGAATCAGGGAAACTTAAGAGACTTTCCAAAACAACCCTGCCCTGGCACAGAGGGGACCCCACCTTGCTATAATGAGAGGTAACTTACCAGTTCAACAGGAGGTGGGTCCATGCTTGTGAACATCTTAAACAGAACAGTGATGTCTGCAGGGTTCAGGGCTCCTTTAGACAGCATGGCCCCAAGGGCCTGGCAGGCCCGGGGGTAGGAAGCAGCTGTGCCCAAAGCCAGTGTGATCTGACTGGCATCATGGCCTCTTGACAGAAAAACCACATAGCCTGTCACTAACAATGTTAGGCAGATTTTTCTTTCTCGTTCTTTTCTTACATTTAATGTTCTAAACCATTAGGATCCATTTTGGTTTTTGTGTTATTCACTTGTTTATTAACTGACCCACCCATGGAAACAATGTTTAGAGCAAACTGGAAAAGAATGATTCTAATGCACCTTACAGACTTGATAAAGAGATTCATACTTTTTAAATACCTTGCTAAGACTCTAAAAATAAAGCTAGGAAGATATAACTTTGGTCTGTAAGATACAGACTACAATATAATAATCACCGAATAACTATTTTAGGACTACTGTTATTTGCTATCTGTGAATCCCAGCATATAAAAGCAGAGTCAATTAGAAGTACACTCAAGTACCTCACAAAACAGTCTTCAAAGCAACACTTTGGAAGGCAAGCTCCCCACGTAGGTTAAAACTACCCTGACCACCAGCTCTAGACAGCAGGACAGAAGGGGCAGGAAGCATGGCTGTGGACAAGGGCCGCGGGGCTCTATGGAAGCAACAGACAGGGGTGGGGAAAGCAGAAGCCTCACTTCTCCTGAGCGAAGCGCTGCACCTCCTGTGCCACCCTGCGCACCGCAGAGCCGCCCTGCTCCTCTTGGGCCAGCACGGACATCATGGCCTGCGCAAACAGGTACGTGTGCTCCCCGTGACACACCATCTTCTAGAATACAGGAGGCAGGATGGGGGTCTCAAGACCACAGCACTGGCAAGTGCAGACCAAAGTTCTCGGGCAGGGAACCTGCTTTCTGGCAGGTGACTTTGGACCTGGAGATTCTCCACAGGGAAGGGATTTTCATGTTTGGGAACCCAAACCTCCCAACCAGCTGCTTCAAATCCAAGATTCACAATGTAGAGAACTTACAGCAAACTCAGGGAGATTTTTTTCAAGGTTTTCTTCCCCTCCATCCAAGATGGTGGCTAGAGAGGTACGGAGCACTCTGGAGAACACTTCCAACTGCTGGCAGGCAGTGGACACACTGGTGATCTCCCCTTGGTACCCCGCATCAGAAATCAGCTGCCACACAAAAACAAAAGTAGGTGTCAGCACCTGGTGACCCACCTTTCAGCACTGGGCTGCTGGGCAGCATGTGCAGCAGGTAGAACAAGCAGGCACTGGTCTCAGGTCCCAACCTTAACTCTGGTCTCTGCTTTGCCACAATCTGGGCTGTGACCTGGACTTCCCAGCCCTCCCAGGTCTTGATGCATAAAAAGGAGTGATTGGCCAGGTGTGCTTAAAGGCTCCTCGGAACACACACACTATAAAATGTCCCTGCTAAATCCTAAAACACAGTCAATGTTGATCTAAAACCACAGGCAGAAATTTTATGCTCCCTTCTTCAGGGTAAGGCATGCTGAAGTGCAACGATGGAGACCTTTGTCAAAAACGGTCTTCACAGACAACCGACCAAACAGACATCAAAAACCACCCTCAATCCTACATACTTTCCCCTGATTCTAAGACTCTTCCTACCTTAACAGTAAAGTTAAGCATCAAACAGTCTGGATGGGCTTCAGCCAGTTTGTAGAACAGATCTCTCCATGTGGTATGTGCAATCATTTGTTCAAGCCAAGCTGGGGTCTGCCGACAAACAGACAGCAAGGTAAGACGTCTGGCATTAGCCCAAGAGAAGTCTGTTGCATAAACAACCCCAGGACATTCCAACTGGAAGAGCCGCCACTGGCGTCCAGCTGTAGAGGAAGCAGACTCAGGGCTGGTTGTGGCCGCAGAGCTGTGAGGCAGGACAGCCCCTGCACACCCACTCTGCTTTCACAAGTTCCCACTCAACATTAGCACAAGTGGAAGAGAGCTTCCTGGGAGACATCCGAGAGTCCTGTGGCAGCAAGTGCACAGAGGAGCTGCATCGCATGCATGACTGACTCACGCTCAACCAGCTGCATGCCCATGGCAGGACAGAAGACACAATTTAAATAGCACAGGAGGTTCTGTCCAACACCACAAGTAGTGGCCACAAAAATATCTCTTGGCTCCTACTGTGTGACGGATGGGGGCGCTGTTCTCTGAACCCACCATCCTGTCTGTGTCAAGGCCAGGCTCTCCATGACTGTTCCCAGCCACCACTTGAGCACAGAGGGCTTCACAGGCAGGTCTGTCATAAAAGACACAGGCTTGTGTATCCAGCAACTAAAACTCTAGAGACATCTCGCTGGCCCTGCTGGGACTTCCTAAAAGCTGCACTGCAGCCTGAGATTCTTCCTTCCAACCTCCTTCATGCCTTTTGCCTTCAGGGTCAGTCCTGCATCCCAGCTCCCCCAGCCTCCTCCAGCATTCATCTACTTTTCTACCTGGGGTATCTCCTCCATGATCTCCTTGCATGTCTCATCCAGTCTCAGCACATGCTTCTTGGAGGACCCACAGGAATTTGCCCCCTCCCAGAGCTGTGCCTGGAGTCAGCGAGGATTGGGAGGTGAGAACTGGCTGCACCTCCTCTTGGCCTTGGCACCAAAACCTCCCACATGAAGCACCTCAATGTGCTGAGCACAGCAGAAAGAGTAGTTCAGACCACACTACCCAACTCGTGTACTTACGTGATACGCCACACACCACTCCATACACAGAGCTAGGAAAAGGCCCTGGGATGCACCACCAGACAAAGAACAACATTCCTCACCTCTCCTTCTTCAGTAAAAATAGAATCTGCTTTGCGGGGATCAAAATGTTTGATCAATAAACTCTTCAGGTGGTTTTCCACAGTTTCCTGGACCTGCACGGGCTCAACACCTGAAAGAAAACATAAGACAACAGCACTCGCTAAAGCCACTGCACTCTTGCAGAAAGGGCCAACAGCCACATCTCTCTGAACCAAACAACACAGAATTGCTTGTGCCACTTTTAAAGGCAAGACTTTGGACTCATTAAAAAGTTATTAATTCTACTTGCTAGTAAGACCCAAGAAGGAACAGAGCAGCATGCACCACATGGTCTACCTCTGCCTAATGGAAAGGAGAATAGCACCTTCAAACCCTCACAAAGTCCAAACAGACAGGGATGGCAACAGGAAATGCTGTCCCATGAAGGAGAGCAGATGTGGCCAAGAGGCTCGCTTGAAGGAATCACGACAGTAACACATCCATTTCTCTCCAGACACTGCTTACTCAAGTGACCATCTAGACGCAGCCCAGTGGATCTACAGTAAGACTCCACTGTGATCCTATGAGCCAGAAGCCACAACCACAGCCAACTCCAAAATGACCTATCACTCACTGCTTGCTGTAACAGGCCTCCTGAAAATGATACACCAAATGTACAGCATGTCATCCCTTAACTCTACAGCAGGGCAGAGAAAGCTGCTCAACGGGAACTCCTGCAAACCTCAACTGCTGGATTAAACATAAGAGTCAAACAGGTGAAAATGGCTAAAAAGTTCAACTCCTACTTACACAAACATTAAAAATCAGGAATTCAAACAAGGCACTGCTGATTCACTAGCATAATACTGATGCGAAAGCCCATTAGAGAGGTGGGGTTGGGTGAGAGCAAGGACAGCACCTGTCTGAATGAGCCACTCAGCTAGCAGGTTCACAGTCTGGGCCACAGCAGTGTAGTTCTCAGATAAGAGCTGGATGACATTCTCTGGAGAGCCTCCTGCCTGAAAATACCTGAGAAAAGCAAAAGAGCCACCACCTCATTAGAGCAGACACATGTGAGAGGGGATGAACAGGTAGGTAAGGAGGAAGATAATTACATTTAAACATTTTTTAAATGGCAAAGGGGACCCTAGAAGCATTCTAATCCAAGACCACATTCTTCTCATTTTACTTGTCATCATCTGGTTCTTTTAGAAAATTCTTTGAACAAGCCCCTCCTCCCCAATGCAAACACTGTCGTCGCATACCTCTTCAGAGTGTTGAAGATAGAGGGCTCCATGATATAGTCCCGGGTAGAAAACTTATGAAGGCATTCCTGCTGCACCTCTGCATCATCCTCTCCTTCTCCAGAATCATCCTCCTGTTGCTGAGAAAGGCCAGGAACAGGGTATATTTAATATTAATATCCTGAAATCTCACTTGTGCATTATGAAAGTATCCCACACACAATTTCATGAGTCTCATAATGTAGCCAGGACAAGTGGTAAGTAGCCATGAAAATGGGATCCAGAATCACCCCAAGTGGGACATATGACCACCCCGCTAGCAGACTGTGTGCCAGTCATCAAGTCACTAAGCCTCTCTGAATAGCAACTCCCTTTGCTAAACAAAGACATCTCGGGTGCTCCTTCCTGGTTGCTGATTTTTGGAAGCATCAAGCCTAACACCTGACATTTAGTAAAAGTTCACTAGACATTTGCTATTATTATTGTTTTCACCATGATTATTTCACATATGCCATTTAATCTTTACCAACAAAGACTAACAAGATTCTCGAGAGCACGATCCATCAATTTGTGGTTAGAAAAAAATCTCTGACTTCCCTCCTATCAGCAGCAGGCCTGGCCCTGGACTCTAGTCCCACTTCCAGGTAGGAGCACAGAGGCAGGATGCTGAACCCAAGGGCAAACCAGACTGCTTCACCTGCTGATACACGTGATGATGGGGACTACTGACCCCAAGTCTGTCCAGTTTTAATACTGTCACCCTAACTAACAAGCAGGAAGCAGGCAATTTCTGAACATTTACCCTGCACTAAAAATGTGCTCATCATCCCTGGGACCTTAGAAAATCAGACAAGATGTAGTTTTTTTTCCATGGAAGGAGTTCACAAACTAAGACAGCTAACCAATTCAAACATAATGGGATAAGAACCGGGCCAGGGATCAGTGAACTATGACCAAATGTTGCCTGCTTCCAGTTTTTACATAAAGACTTACTGAAACACATTCATACCTATTCTATCACATTTTGTCTATGACTGCTTTCCCTTTACAGCCATAGAGTTGAGTAGTTGTGACAGAGCCCCACACAGCCTCAGATATGGATTGTCTGGCTTTTTACAGAAAAGTTTGCCCACCACTGTTTGGATTAACATCCTGGGAACAGTGCTCTGAAGCAGACACAGCCTGCTGGCTACACTGGAAAAACTGGGGAGTCTTCTCTCAGACAGCATTGGTGAGGGGACCTGTGAGGAAGGCTGGACTTCCCTGAGACTCATCTTCAGATGTCTGCATTCTTGGGCTTCTACCCTGGCCTCCCACTTCCTCATATCTCTTGCACCCTGCGTGTCTACATTGTGGCCTGCATCTCTCTCTTGGGCTCCACAGTCAAGTGTATTGCAGTGTCATATAATTCCCATTCCATGCCCATTAGGACTCCAAAGTCTAAAACTGACCTTGTCTTACTCCCAAAACAAATCTTCCCACAATCCACCAGAAACCTGGGAGTCATCCTCAATTTCTCCTCCTTCACCCCAGCCCACCCCACATCCTCTCACAAAGACCCATCAACTCTATCTCCCATATATTGACCAAATTTGGCTCTTCTTTCCATATTTATTTTCCACTTATTTTTTGTCTGCTTACAGTAGTAATCTCCCTATGCCTTTCCACTTATTTTTTGTATGCTTACAGTAGTAACCTCCCTATGCCTTGTCCTTCCCCACAATCCACTTTCACACTGAAACCATAGTGACATCCATAAGCCACAAATGTGACGTCTCTCAGTTGCTTAAAGTTTCCTATCTCTCTCTGGGGGAAAAAAAAAAGAAAGAAATCCAGGCCCTAGAATGACTTTGGCCTTCCCGCTGTTCACTTGTCCAGTCTCACCTCTTGCCAACCCCCATGTGCAACCTGTAGCCAGACTCATCTATTTGTCAGTAGCTCTTAGCTCCTACCAGAGAAGCCTCCTTACACACAGTCCTGCCTCTCCAAACCACATCTGGCATCAAGTGAACAGAATTTGGGTCACCATCTTTCCCAACTTTAGTATAGTCACAGCTGTAATGAACATGAAAAAACATCATCAATGAAATTAGGGTAATGATTATAGCTGGCCAAACATGGGACTACCAAACCTTCATCAGTGGGGTCTAGGCCTGGCTCGAAACTCCCAAGTGCATAAGCTAGAGCAAGTAGCTCACATGTTCTATTTACAAAATGATGGAGGACACAGGCCTAGATGGCCCTAAAGTATGCCCCAGTTGCAACACCTCCCTATGCCTAAGTCTCAGTCCTTATGATTCAAATGCTCAATGAGAACAAGATGTACCAAACACCAACCCACTACCAAGCTAATTAATTCAGACCTTATATTTCTCTCATCTGGCCTTCTTCAGTGGTTAGCATACTGATGAAGTGGAAAAGAAACAAAGGGCTTGGATCCCCATTCCTTTATGTTTTGGGAACTTGAGGAAGTTAAATCTTTTGGTCTCTCTTTCTTCACTTAGGAGATAAACAAAGTAATAGCCAACTCATAATCTTGAGTGTGGAACGCAATATTGCATGAAAGCTCCTAGCTCAGGCTCCTAATAGCTATACGTGACTGCTCCACTAAGTTCCCAATGTTGTGGGATGATCCAACATGTGGGCTCTACTCACTTTACACCCGGACTAAACTCTTGAACAAGCTTTACCGTTGAACATCTCTCCAAGGCCCTCTGGAACCTGCTCCCTACCAACTTCATGCCCCTGTTCCACAGGGTAATTAACCACAGAGGACTTTCTTCAGCTCCAGAAACACACAGCTCTCTGCATGTCCAGTGCCCTGCTGAACCACTTAGTAAACCTCACTTCATGGTTTATTCCTTCAAAACTAATCTTTATTCCGGTTTAAAAGGCAAATTCCCAGGCCTCACAGTACAGTCTAGAGAGCCATGACCAGAGTAACCTGGGAAGCTTTATGTCAATCATGGGCCTGGGGTGGACCTTCTCGGACTTCCCAAGTCCCGGGCTCCCACCCCACCCCTGGACCGTCCAGGCTGCAAGGTTCGGCCTGTCATCTGGTCCAAGGAAAAGTGAAATCTGCCCAAGCGCTTAAAGGCGCGGTCGCCCAGCGGCGAGACAGTGTGAAGGCGCCCAAAGTTCTGCTTTCTCCCCAGGACTCGGGTTTAAGTTCGACTTCGAAGACAGCAGTGCGGCTCCCGCTTCCCGCCTGAAGACCGCGCCCCCGCTGCATGGGGTGGGCAGTCCTCGCGCCTGGCCTCGCCTGGCCACGTGGCCGCCCCGGGAAACTGCGGCGGGGGCCGGGCCGGGCGGCGGGGGCGCAGGCTGGGACAGAGGAGGGCTCCCGCGGCCCCCAGCGCACGCCCCCAGAGTGCCGGCCTGGCCCGCGCGGGCTCAGCGGGGGCGGGGCCGCCGGCGGCAAACGAGCCTCGGCGCGGGGCGCCTGGTGCCCCGCCTCACCTGGCCGCCATCCGCCTCGTCGCCCCACTCGGCCGCGTTCCCGAAGTAGTCTTCGGCCATGATGGCGCCTGGCGTGGCCCCCGCCATGCTTTCCGCGAGCCGGCGCGGCGCATGCGCGCGGTGGGGAGGACGGGAGGGCGCAAGCGCGGCTGCACGGCCCCGCCCCCGCAACGGCGCGCCTCGGCGGGGGGAGGCGGGGCCTGAGAGGGGAGGGGCGGGGCCGAGGCACAGCTGGGGGAACGCCCCCCGGGTCCTGGAGCGCCCGCCAGCCTTCTTGCTGGACTCCTTGCTTAGCCCTACCGGCTATGGCTTTTGGTTCAGAGAGCACCAGTTTCCTCTTCGGACAACTGGGCACGAATCCATCAGGGACAGTGTCTGACCCGCCAAACTAATTTCTTTTATTATTGGCAAAATGTACGAAATGCAGTGTAAAATAGAAATTTTAATATATTTTGAGTGGATGAGGGACTTTCTAAGGCAAAAGTGCCAGGACGCTTCAAAAGTCAAGATTTGGCCTTTGAAAAGTGGCACGACTCCTTGTCGTTGCTAAGGGTAACCAAGACAGTGCTTTTATCGGGCCTCAAGCTCGGCTCCTAGCAGGTGGTAGGGGATCCAAAATGAGGAACAGATGATAAGCAGAGAAAGTTTTGAGCCGGAGATCAACACCTTCAGCTCTGGGTGCTTTGAAAGGTAGTACCAGTGCAGGGAGGAAAGAGCGCTAGAGAAAAGAGCCCCAGAGCCTTGACAGGTGGCCTGACTACAGAGCGTGGGAGGGTCAGGAAAGTGCGCTCATTCTTCTTTTATCCACTCTGTGAAGGTTTGCTAAGTGTCCCCCAAGGGCCAGGCACTCTGCCACCCTCTGGAGCCCCATGGTCCTTGCCCTGGGTGAACTTACATTCTATTGAGTTAGCTGAACAGGAAACAAAAGAAATAAGGACAGGAGGTGATGGGTGATAGTACTCTGTGATGCTAGAAGACACTTTCTTGGGCTGGTCTAGAGGCCAGAGTAAGTCACATTCGACCTGGGAGTCCTGTGCTGAAACAGTTGGGCAAGGTGAGACCCGGGAAGCACTTTCAGAGTGTGGAATTGTCATGGTTAAATCTCGGCATGTATGCTTACAACAGAAAGGCCACTAAGACTGGCACCTTGACAAGGTGAGCAAGGCAGGCAGAGCCAATTTCCAGGGCTGTAGGTCTTTATTTACCAGAGTACTTGCAAGGACTTAGTACAATAACTTACTTACTGCTAAAGCACTGAGCACATAACTAGCACACAGTAGTTGTTTAATAAGTGTTAGTTACGATGACAATGAAACGTTTGGATATTTTGGTTTCCTTTTTTATTTTTATTTATTTATTTATTATTTTTGCAGTGGGATCAAACCCAAGACATTGCACATGCAAGGCAAGCACTCTGCTATTGAGTTAACCCCCAGCCTGAAGGTGTATTTGTTTTGAGGGGCTGACAGTACAGACATAGCTGGGTTTTCTAAGCTGTTTCTCATAAGCAAAGAAGATCTACAGAAGGGAGCAAGGAACTAAATTAAGAGCCTTGATGAGAGATAATGACTGAAAAGGGGCCAGGGCTGCTGCTGTGAGTAAGGCAAAGACCAGAGGCTGTGGGGAGGGGAGAGGAGCTGAGGCTGGGGAGGTGCTGCTGAGACTCCCAGCCTGTGTGCCCAGGGATGGCCCACTGGTGACAATGTACTCAACAGAAGGGCAGGTTTCTGCAAGGGACAATCATGAGTTCAGATTGGGATGTGTTGAATTGGAGGTATCAACAGAACACCCATGGGAAGATGTCTTGCAGGTTGTTGGAGGTGGAAGTCTGCAGCTCCAATTCAGTGAATCCGGCTCCAGCTTCAATTCACAAGATTAAAGCGTATGAAGTTAATGAGTGCCCCTGCTGTTGGCTTGTTTCAGTGTTCATTTTCATTTGCTTTCTGAAAATGTTGGTAGAATAGAGGGCTGTTGAACTCCCACTACTTCTCCTTTTAGATTTTGTTTTAAATGGTACCTGAATTGAAAGCAGACAAATTAATATATGTATAACTAATTGTACCTACAGAATCTGGGATTATTTAACCACCTCTCTCTCAACCAAAAGGTTACTTATTATTAAACGGATTAACAAACAACCCGTAATGAAGGCATTACATTCAGTCTAGAAGTCACAATGATTTGGAATAATTGGATCTATAGATCTCACCTCCTGAGATACTGTTGACCTGTTGTTTTTGAAAAGCCTTGTCTAGAATGTCTAAATTAGCTTGCATTACTTAAAATAAATACTCTAAAGCTATTTAAAATATTTTCCTGTTTAAGAAAAAATCAAGTGGAGAATTTCCATGGAAATGAAACGTTGGTTTCATTTAATTTATTCAAGAAAGATTTACTGAGCACCTTCTAGGTATCATATGCTGGGGCATAGCTGAACCTGGACAGAGCCTGTGTGATGCCAATGGCAGGAAAAAAAAAAAAAAGAAGCGAATTCATCTTTGATGATAGAAGTGCAGAGTCTTCAATGGGAGATCAACAAGAGACTTTCCAGGGAATGATGTTTACATCAAGACTTTTAAGACTTGAATCTGGAGGACACACAGAATATAAGGTACAGTGGAGACATTACAAGGTGACCCTAAAAGAAGATGATGGTAATGCAGACATCAGAAGGGGGAAGGGGGAGGGAGGGAGGCAGGATCCATGCAACCCAGAGATGTGCAAGAGTTATAGACTTGGTCCAGGGAAATAAGTGGACAGGAAGACTTTTATTTATTTATTTTTAATATCTTTGTTTTTATTTATTTACTTTTGTATGTGGTACTGAGGATTGAACCCAGTGCCTCACATATGTGAGGCGAGCCCTCAGCCACTGAGCTACAATCCCAGCCCCGACAGTGAGGTGACCCAGTACAGGTTTACTGTTCATTTCAGATGCCCAGTACATAAAGGATCTCAGAGAAGCAAAGTCAAGTTTGGGAGACTAGTTAGTACAATGCGATGTCCACGTGAGAATTCATGGGAATCAAGATTAAAGCAGGCTTGTGGATAAACTGAACATACCTGGGAGAGGCTTAGAAGCCTAGACAGATGGAGGTTTGAAGGGTCTTTCCTGGTGAGTGAGTCATAAATACCCAAATCTTTAACTTCTTCATCTTCTGTTCATGCTCCAGCCCACTTGTCTTCTGTCCTTCATACCACTACCACCATTTTTCCATGTCCAAAGAACTCTTCTCTATCTTCATTCCATTTGATCTCTCCACAGTTACTGACTCTTGAGATGACACAACTGACCTTAAAATATGACCTTCCTCTGTACCTGCAGCTTTGCAGTCTGGTTTTCTCCAGATTTTGTTTTAAATGGTACCTGAATTGAAAGCAGACAAATTAATATATGTATAACTAATTGTACCCACAGAATCAGGGATTATTTAACCACCTCTCTCTCAACCAAAAGGTTACTTATTATTAAACGGAATAACAAACAACCCTAATGAAGGCATTACGTTCAGCCCTTCCTTGTCAGACCTCTGCCCTGTTGTCCCTCTTCCTGTTCTCTGGATTTTACAGCTCCTAAACCTTGGATATGGACTTCTTCTCCACTTCCCTTCTCTTCCAGGGAGGCCTCACCCATCCCATACCTTCAAATCATCAAAATTCTGAGAGAACTCCTTTTTTTTTTTTTTAATTTAATCTCCAACCCTCCTGTCTCCTCTAATTCCAGACTGGAGTTTAACTGCACTGACTGCCTCTTCACCTACTGTCAGGATTCTCATGCACATCTCAATAACTCCATCAGCACCACAAACTCCATCCTTCTGCTGTCTCTCCTCTCAGGTGGCCATGGGACCAACAGCTCCAGGGACCTATATCAGATGCCTGGAAGTCATCCCTAACATCTGTTCCCCTCCACTCCCACCCAATCCAAAGACAAATCCTCCATCTGATCAACTTGTAAAATATTTCCAGTCTATTCATTTCTCTCCATCTTTACTACTACCATCTTCGTCTGGGTTCCTACCAGCTCTCACACTCTCTCTTACATCCCCCACTTTGGAGGAGGCCAGATGCCAACTTGTGACTAGCCCTATGGAGAAACTCCCAGCAGGAAACAGAGGCCTCCAGCAGGTAAGGAAGCAAACACGGAGGTGGATTCTGCGCCCTCCCAGTCCAGTCCCAGCTGACATCTTGTTTATAACTTTCTGAGAGGCACTGAATCAGAACCAAGAGGTAGGCTGCTTCTAAATTTCTGGCAAACAGAAATTATGACATAAATAATAAAATGTGTGTTTTTCAAGCAGATAAATTTGGGGGTAATTTCTTAGAGCAATAATTAACTAATACAGTTTTATGAAGTATTCATTTAAAACACAAAGGAGATCATGGCTCTCCTGTGCTTCCTCTTTCACCCAGAAAAAAAAAACAAACCATTTTCTCATGGCTGGCATGATGACAGAGTGAGGTCAACAAATTCTGACCTCAAAAGCAGCAATAATGCTGGACAAAAGTGTCAAAAATGGCCATTTCAGACCTCTGCAGATGGACCAAAGGCATCCCACAAGCTGAGAAGCACTTAAAACTAGTCAGAATTACAAATTTTAAATAAGAACAGCATGAATCTATGACATTTTTGCCTGAGTATGCTCCTATTCTTGAAAGCAAAAAGGGAAGTATGATTAATAAATGACTTCTCATCAGAAACAGTGGGGACAGGAGCAGTGGGATGGCATGGTTAACATGCCAGAACAGACAGAGCTGTCAGACCACAGCTCTGCACCCAGCAAGTACCAAAGATGAAGGTGAAATAAATACAATGTGAGATAAACAAAAATAGAAAGAATTTGTTGCTTCCAGGCCTGCTTGTAAGAAACACTAAAGGAAATTCTTCAAGCTGAAAGTAACACTACATAATAACTTCAATTCACAAGAAGAAATTGAAGAATGCCAGAAATGGTAAATACAAAGTCTCTTTAAATGGGTTCTATTTATTCTGCTGCATTTAAATACACACACACACACACACACGTATAATGTTGGATAAAGCAATAATTGTAGCACTCTCTTGTTGCTTTAATAATAGCAAAAGGGTAGGGGGGAAATGAGATGTATTGAAATAAGTTTCTATATTTTA